GTGCTCTTTCCCTCTTTCTACGTCTCTCTTTTCCCTCGCAAGTAAAAACCAAAAAAAAAAAAAAAGGGAAACCGATGCCATAAGGAAAACACAACAACAATCAAAGCCAATACGAAAAATTAGCACAACAACAGCTCCCCACAATCATACTACTAAAAATACATTGCCAAAAACCGCACCGAGGCCTCCAGTGTCCGGTTAAAGTAATGGCCGGGGCTTGGTTTTGCAGGTCATTTCTCCTGTTGTCATCTTTATTGGTCCTGTTGCCTTTGATATTTGCGGTATCAGATTCTGAGGCCTTGTTAAAGCTCAAGAAATCTTTTACCAATGCTAGTGCTCTCGATTCTTGGGTGCCCGGCTTAGCCCCTTGCAATGAACAAGTACCTTGGAATGGACTGCTTTGTTACAAGGGCATTGTCACGGGTTTGCGTCTTGAAGGAATGAGATTATCAGGAAACATTGATGTTGATGCTTTGGTTCAGATGAAGGGTTTGCGTTTTTTCAGTGTTATTAACAATTCTTTTACGGGCAACATTCCTGAAATCAATCGTTTAGGTGCTTTGAAGGCTTTATTCTTGTCAGGAAATCAATTTTCGGGTGAAATTCCATCCGAGTATTTTGCCAAAATGGGATCACTGAAGAAAGTTTGGTTATCAGATAACAAATTTATAGGGAACATTCCATTTTCATTGGGTCAGTTGGCTCATCTCATGGACTTACATCTCGAAAACAATCAATTTAGTGGACATATTCCGGATTTTAATCAACAAACTTTGAAGTCTATCAATTTATCGAACAATAAACTTGAAGGGGAGATTCCTTCTGGTTTGTCAAAGTTCAAGGCAAATTCCTTTGCGGGAAATCCAGGTCTTTGCGGAGAACAGGTTGGTGTTCACTGTAGCAAGGCAGTTGAAACATCTCCGGAACAATTGTCAAAAGCAAAATATACTGATAGTGGACATCATAAAAATAATAGTAAAAAGATTATTGCTGCAATCATAGCGTTAGGAGTGATGCTATTTTCAGTGATTCTCTTCTTTGCAATTAGATTAAGGAAAACGAAGCAACAGGATTGCAATGTGGTTGGAAGAGGAAGCTCTATCGAGGCAGTTGAGGTGCAGATTTCAGTGCCAGCTAGAAGAGAAGTGGAAGAAAGCAGAAAGACTGAAACCTCTAGCCATAGAGTATCTAATCGTAAGGCCAGAGGTGGTGCTGTAGCAGAACTAGTTATGGTAAATGATGAAAAGGGTGTTTTTGGGTTGCCAGATTTAATGAAGGCAGCCGCAGAAGTTCTTGGAAATGGAGTGCTGGGGTCTTCTTATAAGGTCACGATGGCTAATGGAGTCGCTGTGGTGGTGAAAAAGGTGAGGGAGATGAATGCATTAGGGAAAGAAGCGTTTGATGCAGAGGTTAAAAAGCTTGGAAAGCTACGACATCCCAATATTTTGACACCTTTAGCTTACCATTATCGGAAAGAGGAAAAGCTTTTTGTCTACCAGTACCTTCCTAAAGGCAGTTTGCTTTACCAATTGCACGGTATGAAATTTTCTCTGTTCCCATTTTGGCAAAAGATGGCTGAGTGTCCATTTTACTGACTAACTTTTTTCTTTTTTCTTGCTTCAAAATCATTGCACAAATGCTCTCCAATCTGTTGTCGGTTTTTAACTCATTCAGTATTTTCTTTCCTATATATGCTAATATTGTTATACGCAATACTGTATCATCCATGGATTCTGATAAAAAAACACATAACTCTCCAGGTGATTGTGGCACATCCCGTGCTGAACTTGATTGGCCTACCAGACTAAAAATTGTGCAAGGCATTGCCAAGGGACTAGATTATCTTCACACTGAACTTGCTTGTCTTGATGTGCCTCATGGCAACCTCAAATCAAGTAATGTTCTGCTAGGCCCTGATAATCATCCATTTCTCTCGGACTATGGATTTCGGTCATTGGTAAACATTGACGTGATAGAAGCGCTGTTTGCTTATAAGACACCAGAAGCTGTACAACATGGAAAAGTAATTCCTAAAAGTGATGTATATTGCCTAGGAATTATCATCCTTGAGATCCTTACAGGGAAATTCCCTTCTCAATATCTTAGCAATGGAAATGGAGGAAGCGATGCAGTCCAATGGGTTACATCTGCTTTTTCGGAAGGGAGACAGGCTGAATTGCTTGATCCAGAGATTACCGGCTGCCAAAATTCAGTTCGCGGCATGGAGAAGCTCCTTCATATTGGCGCACTTTGCACTCAAACTTGTCCTGAGCAGCGATTGGACATGAAAGAAGCCATTAGAATGATAGAAGAGATACAAATTGAGGGAGACCCAGAGTATTAACTCTCAGGCAAGAACAATGCAAATCTTACCATCTCTTCCAGACGGATTTGCTGATGCACCAAATAGAAACTCGTATAGTTTCCGAGAAGGTCAGGTGTGAGCACGCAACAAGGAGACATGCATCAGAAAGCTTTGAAGATAGACCGGGCCGTCATGATGGTAGTAGTTTTGTCTTCGGCATCTCCTAGCCAGCTACAAAAGCGCAACTATGTAAAAAGAAGTTTTGATTCTGTGATGATGTCTGTATATAATTCTCAACGGAGAATGTATTGCAGTGGCTTCTGCATTGATCTGTAGGCCCCTACTGTATAAATTTTAGGTTGAACTTTAAAATAAGAGTGAAAATAACATGTTGAAATGTAACTTTAGCAATTTCCAATATCTTTTAACCGATAGATTGCCTTGTTTTAACTTTCCTTAAACATGTTTTATAGCAATTCTAAACTTTTGAGTAACAAATTAATTAGGAACTTTCAGTGTCAACAGGGTGTTCTGGCTTCTAGGTGTAAAATAAATACATCTCATCCCAGTCATCAAAGGGTTTTTTTTTTTTTTTTCCAGATTGTTTTGTCCTCAAATCTCATTTTTATTGACAGATATGAATCTCACCTCCTCTAGCTTTTCCCAACGAGGTCAACATTTAGCAAGTTACCAAATCCAAAGACAATTTGGTGCCCGAACCCATAAAAGGACTTTGCTGTACAGGAGCTTGGCCTTTATTGTCAGAAAAATTTTCATCCATTTCTGATTAAATATTAATCCATGATTTTTGGAATTTTCTGCATTATATCAAGCTCAAGCTTAACTGTTTGGCCCTGAACACTCATCTTCTGACGGGCAATTTTAGAAACCTTTGCGACTTCCAAGTTTCCAAGTCATTGACAGATGAAAAACATTATATTTGTCAACTGTTCTCGACCTCGTATAGCTAAATACAGCTGGAGATTTCAGAAAAATGAATAATTTAAACTGACCCAATTTATAGACTCTGGAGCACTAACCTGGCATACAACAATAAGCCTACCTGTGCCCTAGCAATCACATTAAATATTTGAAAGGTAGCACTTGCATAATAATCATCCAAAATTCATTTAACATCTTCCCAAATTCCCAGAGTTGCACATTGAACCAGGAGAGTGATTCGGCGCCTTGGGGCTTTATTATAATCAATTGGAATTTTCATTAAATGGCTTGGGTTGGAAGTGAAAGAAAGACAAAGTTTGCTTACTGTAGAAGTCTGGAAATTAATTATAGCCCACAATAATCATACAAGAGTGCAACAGTATCAAATAGACATATCAAAACATATTAATTTTAAATACGATTCAATAATAAATAATAAAAAAAACGAAATAAATGATAAAAAATAAAATTAACACGATTTAAAATTTTTAAAAATATATTTTATATTTGATATGTTAACGTAAATTATAATATTATAATATTTATATTTTATACATATTTAATTTGAAATAAACATACATGATACAAAAAATCATAAGATACATTGTAAACTAATATAATGTTGTGTCAGAAAATTTGAAACAGTAGATGATTAGCATTAGGGAAAATGTGCATCAGCAAAACCAAAAATATGATTTGTTTTCTCCACTTTCTTAGTCACTCTGGCCAGTAGGATGCAGCCACTCGTGCAACTCCTCATTTAAAAGCCACATTCCTCTCTCCTTTAGATTAGTATCATAGTGGTTATTGTTACATATTAATTTTAGGTCTAATGAAGATTCATGAAATCGAAAATTATATACGTGCAAACGGTGCAAAAAGCATGCATGCACGTGAATGGCGCCCTAATTTGGCAGTAGATTAGTTGACTTCATTATATTCATTGATTAATAAATGTTGTTGGGTATGTGGTCAAGCCAGCAAGGCTAACACAGGATTATATGCTAACTTGTAGCTGTTATGCTATTACGTACTCTAAAACTTTATAGCTAGTTTCGTCGAATTTAAATTTTAAGATACAAAAATAAATTTATGAGACAAAAAAATGAATTTAATTATGAATTAATGATCCACTTAGCAAAGTTGTTCACAGGTCATATGATAGTCAGTTTAGAATTGATCATATTACTAAAATAGCATAGCTTGACTGTTTGGTAATGAAATCTCATTAAGAATTTGGAGTTTAATTTAATTAATTTATATATTATGTTTAAAAAATAATATTTAAAATTTGAATTTGAAATTTAATATTTATATATTTTTTATTTTTAAGTTGCAGTTTTTTTATATAAAAATTTTTACTAATTTTAATTTCTTTAATAATAAAAAATAACTAATTATTATTATTATTATTATAGCTTTGAATTTAGATATTATCTGAACTCGAGACTTAATCAAAATGATTAATCCAATTTTTTTCTCCAATTTTTTTAATGGCGGCTTCACTTGCATTTAAAAAAACAAAAAAACATGTGGGGAAGCGAGCAAGCCTATCCAATCGAGCATGGAATTTAGATGGGCCTTGGACCCATTAAAACCTTGAAAACAAGGGCCCAGTTAGGTCCAATTGGCCCATCGAATTGGGACCATTATATTTAGTATTAGAGGGACCCACCCAAGATTCTGAAAATATCTTCTTTATACACCATTTTTTTTCTTTTTTATTTTTTAACGAAAAAGAAGAAACACAACATTCAAAAGAAAGAAAAGAAAGGAGAGGAAACAGGAAAAGTAGAAGAAGAAAGTCCAATCAAAATTCTAGGAAAGGCAGAAGGAGCAAGAATCGTGGCAAGTTCGCCAGCATGAGCCACCAAAGATACAACCGGCGGCAAATGTAGGAGAAAAAACAAACTTATCTAGAAGATAAAATAAATAAAGAAATAAATATAGTTAGAGTGTCAAAATAAAAATTCCACAAAAGAGACCCATTTTTCTCTCTCTCTCTCTCTGTGGATTCAGACAAAAATCCCATCAGCTGCCATACTAGACTACCCACTTTGCATTTTATTATTAGTAACTCTTTCTCTGCCTTTTCCCTTCACTTTCTCTCCAACACCGCCTGCACTGGCTACGCCTCTGTAGCCACCACCGAAGCCTCTAGCTTTTCCTTTATACTCTTACAAAAGAACCAAAAAGTTTTGCAAATTCATTATTTTACTTTTCCTAAACCTTTTTCTTAGAAAAGGGGTTTTTGTTTCCTTTTTTGTTTTTTCGCAAATTCTGTGGTGTTTTTTTTTTTAAAGTTCTTGAAAGTTAGTTATGGAGCCGCCGGAGAATAGTAATAAGGATGGTAAGGGCTACGAATTGGCGGAGAAAATCATCCTACGGTGGGATTCAACGGCATCGGAGGAAGCAAGAGAGAGAATGATATTCGAATCGGATCGTCAAGAAGCCGATCTTTACCTCCAAGCCGTCGATGAAATCCAACGGTCCTTATCCAACGCATCAATCTCAACCTCTTCCAACAACAACGCCGATGATCGGTCTAAAGTCAACACCACAATCCAGATCGCCATGGCTCGTCTCGAAGAGGAGTTCCGCAACATCCTCATCACTCACACCTCAGCTTTTGAAACTGATTCCCTCTTCGATCCGGCGTCGTCTTCATCATCAACTCCTTCTCATCACGAGCACGAAGAAGATGACAGCTTAAGCAACGACAATAGCATTAACAACATTCTCCTTCAGCTTCATCACTGTGGATCTTCTGATAGTACGAGTTACCGATCTACGAGCAGTATCCGAGAAGTGGATCTGATGCCGGCCGAAGCGATTTGCGATTTACAAGCGATTGCGATGAGGATGGTCTCGTCTGGGTACTTTCGCGAGTGTATTCAAGTGTACGGGAGCGTCAGGAAATCCACCGTTGACTCGAGTTTTAGGAAACTCGGAATCGAGAAGCTGAGCATCGGAGATATCCAAAGGCTTGAATGGGAAGCTTTGGAGAGTAAAATTCGGCGTTGGATTCGAGCGGCGAGAGTTTGTGTCAGGATTTTGTTTGCGAGCGAGAAGAAGCTTTGTGAGCAAATCTTTAAGTGTGTCGGAACGGATATTGATGACGCGTGTTTTATGGAAACGGTTAAAGGGCCAGCAATTCAGTTATTTAACTTCGCGGAAGCCATAAGTATAAGTAAGAGATCTCCTGAAAAGCTTTTTAAGATGCTTGATTTACATGATGCTTTGATGGAATTATTACCTGATATTGAGGCGGTTTTCGATTCTAAATCATCGGACTCGATTCGAGTTCAGGCTACCGAGATTTTGTCCAGGTTAGCCGAGGCTGTTCGAGGGATTTTGTCTGAATTCGAAAACGCAGTTTTAAGAGAGCCCTCTAGGGTGCCTGTCCCTGGTGGGACGATCCATCCTTTGACTAGGTATGTCATGAATTATATCAGTTTGATATCTGATTACAAACAGACTTTGATTGAGCTTATAATGTCAAAACCGTCCACGGGTTCGAGGTATTCGGGTGATCCATCTACCCCAGATATGGAATTTGCTGAGTTAGAAGGGAAAACTCCTTTAGCTTTGCATTTGATTTGGATTATTGTGGTTTTGCAATTCAATTTGGATGGGAAGTCTAAGCATTATACAGATGCATCTTTGGTACATTTGTTTATGATGAATAATGTTCATTATATCGTTCAGAAGGTTAAAGGGTCACCCGAGTTGAGGGAAATGATTGGGGATGATTATTTGAGGAAGCTGACGGGGAAGTTTAGGCAGGCCGCCACGAATTATCAGAGAGCTGCCTGGGTGAGTGTTTTATATTGTTTGAGAGATGAAGGGTTGCATGTGAGTGGGGCTTTTTCTTCTGGGGTGTCGAAGAGTGCATTGAGGGAAAGGTTTAAGACTTTCAATGCTATGTTTGAAGAGGTTCATAGGACTCAAGCAACATGGTTGGTACCTGATGCTCAGCTCCGAGAGGAACTAAGGATTTCTATATCCGAGACGTTGATCCCAGCTTACAGGTCATTTCTTGGGCGGTTTAGGAGCCATATAGAGAGTGGAAAGCACCCAGAGAACTACATCAAGTATTCAGTTGAAGACTTGGAAACTGCTGTGTTGGATTTCTTTGAGGGATACCCTGTGTCCCGGCACTTGAGGAGGAGATCTCAGTGAAGGAGTGATGTCAGCTGAGATGAGTTTTGCCATGGTAGAAACTAGGAGACATTCTTTCAATTTTTTTTGTGGGGTATTTGGGCTATATGGTGCTGGTGAATCTGGGCTGCCCTGAGCTCTCCAGTTTGTTTAATACCGGCTGGTTGAATTATTTCCACGGTCGAGGAAGCAACAAGATCAGGTGTTAGCTTTCCAAAATAGCCAGGCCCTTGGAGCCTGAATGCTTTCTGCTCTGTAAGCATTATGTTGGTTTTGTTACCACATTCTAGATTTTGTTCCATTTGTTCATAAGGTTATTGTTGTATTTGTAATTTGTAATTTTGTATGTGTGTTTGCTTTTACTATTATTAATAATGTGAAGAAGCATTTTTTTCCCCTTTTTCTACCCTCTTTTCTTTTATATCAGTAACCACATTTTAGGTTTGCATACCTGATTGATTGCATGATAAGAATGATGCATTGATGTTTATATTTTAGTTAATTTTTCTTGGCGGTGACTTATGTTCACTTACCTGTATAAATGGTGACAAAATGCATGAGGAAATTATAGTTTTGCTTGAATTGAAAGGTGATGCTGGAACCTGGAAGTTGGCTGGTCAAGTCAACTTCTCTGGTTTCCTTTCTGATATTCAACTTGAATATATGTAGGGCAAGACTTCGTGTAATGGTATCCCTTGACGTGTCTGCTTATTGGATTTAGGGCAAAATTTGTGTCTATGATTCACACTCAACATGCTCCTATCGGTTCTTATTAAGAGCTCTTTCAAATTGGTGGATCACTACTTGACGTATGCACTTAGCTAAAGAAAATAAGTGGCCCCGAGAATTGAGTTTTGCTTGAAGATTCAAGCAGTCAAGGCCTTGCCAATGGTCCGATGCGATTCATCCAGGAAAGTTCCACAATTTCTCAAAAGAAGAAAAGAGAGGGTCATGTTACAATTTAGAAAACAACGGGCAACTCAAGAATAAGGGTACGATGGTTACCATCAAAGAAAGAAAATTTAGTGCCGTCTTGACAGGAAGATCATGTGACATTTACCATGATGTCTGTTGTGGACGTGTCAATTTAAAACATAATAATACAAATTAAAATTTTAGTAAAATTATATATGAATTTAACAAACAAAAAATGTAGTTTTTCTTTTATTTTTTGTGATATGATATAAGAAGAACAAGAAAAAAGAAAAAAACACAAAAATGACTTGAGTTAAAATTTTTAACAAAATAATATATAAAATCAACAATATAAAATAATATATTTTTTATTTTTTGTATTAACATAAATTATAATATAATTTTTATATAAAATATGATATAAATATATAAATTATAAATATTTTATACCATATAAATACATAAATTATCAAATCTTTCCATTCTCCTCTTTTTATGGTCAGGACAAAATGGCCTTTTTGACGAGGATTCTGGAGGATAAATCGCCTTCAACAAGAGTTGGTGACTTCTCATTTCACGGATTTTCTCCGACTAGTAGAGGCTACCAGTTCAACATAAGATTAAAAAAAAAAAAAAAACCTGTTAAGATAACGTGTCACAAACTATATTAATATAAAAAAGGACATTGCCCAGATTGCCTGTTCCCTTGGTAACAACTAATCGATGAACAATTTACTGAAAAATTTAACTGATGAACAAATAAAAAGAAACAATATGTCCTTGAAAAGGGAAACAAAATGCTCAACAAGTGACTTTTGTTTGCAATGATCGGCTTGCCATACCCCAATTGATATCATTGTAGTTCAGAGAAAAGTTGGATCATCGCAATAACAAGGCCTCAAATTAATTGAATCATAATGTTGAACTGAGTTGAAAGCATCACAGATTCACACCTAAGGTTTTTCAGTCACTCTGTTTTGTCTTCTTCCACATCACCATTCGATGCTCCATTACTGCCCTGCACTGATCTAGCTTCTGGTGCATTTCTAAAATCTTTTGAAGGCGTTGGGGAGGGTTTTATGAGTGTCAAAGTAGTATCATCTTTTTCAAAATCTTCACTTGCTTCTTCAGAGTAAGCATACCTATTAAGATCAGAAAAAGTTACATTGAAATGAGTTCTCTGAGCTCCAAACCAAAACTAAAATGCTGGAACTTCAACACAAGCCACAATGGAACACGGCTAAATGTTTCTAAACTCAGAATCAGAGAAACTACCCTAAAACTGGTTAACACATAACAGTTACCTTGATTTTTAACACAATTGAGTGCATGAGTTTTTTTTGAATGTCCATAAAACACTTCATAAATGAACTAAGATCAGAAAAGGAACAGCAGAGAGAGAAGCTTAGCACTCAACAAGCTAGATTTTTACCGCATTGAATTCTGAGAGGGTGCCCAAAGAACACAGATGACACATAGCAGAGAGAAAGATAAGACTTGCCAAAAGGCTGGGATGATCCAGGCATTCTGCCACTGCTCATTGTAAACATCATTTGACTTGAAATAAAGCTGAAAATACAGAGTTACAAAAGTTGTAAGATGCAAGAGACTTGACCACAATGCCATTTCTAAAATGTTAATTTACATTTTCCTCACACAACACATTGCAGTTTCTGATTACTTTATCCCATGCTTCCTACTGTAAAGATGCAAGACTGCACGATTTAATTGCTTGCATGTTCTTTAAATTCTTGTAAATTGCATGCTGAACTTAAATCTATTGATAAAGCAGCCAAAAGAAAGCATTGAAGATAATGGACTTGACTACCTCATAACATATCCATCCAACAGACACAATAACAGCTACTGCCAATGCGTTTGTGAACTTCCTGTATATATCCAGCTTTACCACCATCCTTCTAGCCTGTTGCACCCATTAAAAAATTGCAAAGCAATGTTTTATGTAAAGCTCAAATGTCATTACTTCACTAATAAAACAAACAACAAAGATAGGTAATATACTATTGTTACATTTGCATCATAGAATTTCAAAAGATTAAATCGCAAGGCGTTAGAAAGAGGTAAACTTACTAGAGAATCAATTCTTAGACAGCGGATCAAGCTTATTGTTACCTTCTTTATTACACCTTCAATCATTTCTACAAACAGAAACAAATTCGTCCAACTGGATACCGGTGCAGTAAAAGGCACAACACGTAATGGATAGATTTTACGATTTTAGATTGTATCAGAAAATTCAATGATTCTTCCCATTTAATTATGATAAATACTGTTGCTGGAGGCTGCTAAACTAGCTAGTCATCCAACATGAAGAACTTATAAGGATCTCCATCTCTATTTCCATTTACTTCATATCAACTAAACATAAGGATTTCCTCTAGTATTTTTATAAGGATTCTAAAAAATCATATGTTCATATTATGCTGTTAGTACCAATGATCACTTGTATATATCCACTTGCAAAGAGTGAAAGATGGGCAACTTTATCATAGAGGATCTAAAGAATTCACTCTTAAACATGAATGTGTTGCCAAAGAAAAATATGAATGATGCTATTAACTCGACATCACTGACAAAGTTAAAGAAAAAAAATACCTGAAGTTTATTTAAAGTTGCTGAGAGAGAAGTAAATATCCAAAGAATGAAGAAGGCATCTAAGGTTGCTACAGGAAGAATCAAAAACAGTCTTGCCTTTCCAGAAAGATCACTAACTGCACTAACATTTTCTACCAATTCAAGAACTTCAGATGCCAGGAAGAAGGTTGCTCCAAGCATGATTACCTTTGAAGTAAGCCCACCAAGAGTAGGTCTCACAACACCATAACCCATGGAAACCATCAAAATAATAATCCGTGAAGTTGTACGTTTAATAGCACCAAAGGTGACTGCCCACATGGTGATACCAACAGGCCTGATTCCACTCCCGTTGAATTCAGCATAATCAAAATACCAAAGAGCCATCTCAAGCATGCCAAGTGTTATCACTAATGTTATACAGTTTTGCAAAGGAAGAACCTCTCTCCAAAATCTTGCATACTGCGAGAACCAAAAGATTCCGAGGATAAAAAAAGCAAGGGACATGAACCCATAGAAATTCATCAGGGGTGCCATTCTACCAGGTAGATAGCCAGTAGGATTTTTCCATACAGTTTTCCCCACTACAGTCAAATCCTTAAGATTTAAATCACAGTGAATGAAGTATAAGTTATACATCCCACTTTTACTAATCTGTATAGACTTTGATGGCAATGTTGCAACCTCATCATCTCCATTAAACGAGATGCCAGACACTTTGGGCCAGCCAGGATTCTCTGTGGAAGGGCGATGAATAACTTCTCCTTCTGAACAAACACCCAGTTTTGCAAGATCTGCCGTGCAACAAACAGCCCTTTGACCCCCATAAGCTGAACCACCAATAGTCTCTCTATCTTCCACTTCAAAAACAATTACTTGGATAGACCGTGAGCTAAAGTTAGCAAATACTTTTGGTCTGCGGAATGTAATCTTCTCAAAACTGTTCAAGATTACACACAAAATCAAGCATTCAGAAAAAAAAATTGTAGAAACATCTTCAATGCTCCCCGGTCTTAAAAGATCTAAATATTAAGTCAGTTACACATTGAAAATCATATGCAGAAAACAATTTTTTTTTTTTTGTTTCTCTAATAAGTTAGTACCATGTTCAAATTGACTTGACCCGACCACGGACTTAATTAAAGAAAAATAAGCAAGAATCTTAATTTTGAGCAAAATTAGATCTTTCGTTCTTCCGGGTACAAAAAATTTGATCTTTTAGTTTCATTTCACTTCAAATACATAATTAAATTCTAATTCAGTATCAGATCCTAACAGTTCTCAAATCCCACACAATTCAGACAAAACCCCACTAAAACCATCAACAAAATAAAGAGATCTAAAAGTTAAAATCAGTAAATAATTACATACAACACGGGAAATGTAAAGAAAATAAATGGGAAAGTGAATAATCACCGGATGTAAGAGTCACCACCAATGGCATTTACATTTTGGGGGTCAGCAAATGAGGAATAAATGCCTTCACTGCCGCCATGGACGACGAATGCGTTGCCTTTACTGACGAACTTCTCTCCATTGTACTCATGAACTGAAGCTTCAGTGATGAAAACAAAGCAGAGACACAAAAGGAGTAGAAGAAAAAGAGAATTTTGAAGCTTCAGCATTGCCGACCAAAGTTGTATTAGACAAAAAAGATGGGGATTTTGGTTGGATCTGCTGATTTGCAGGGTGAAATGAATACCTTCTTTTCTTCAGGCAGAACTCAAGGCCAAAGTAAAAGGAGTAAGTAAACTGGGTAATAACGAGAGAATGATAAGGTACGGTGATGACAGGCAAAGCTGAAGACATTTTAATCCTGACCATTAGATATTTGACATCTGGGTTCAAATGTAAGATTGTGAATGATTAATGCTTAATGATAATTAAAGAGAGATTAATGTAAAAGTCAATGCTGTCAATTTATTTGTACCTACTCCCCGGTTTTGTCTATAAAACTAATGCCAATCGTTTGACATTGACAATGAGCCAATGGAGCCATACCCTCCTTTTTTTTGGCAATCTACCGGCCATGCCTGGGGTGCCCAGGATTAATGCATTTTCTACCCGATTTTTCCTCTTAGAATCAACTACTGAATACAACCAAAATTTAAATCCATTTTAAAGCAAATTGCTTAAGACAGCCAAAAAAGCTATATATTAATTTACTTTTTAGCTCCCACAGCGAAAAAACACCTTTCTCTTTTTCTCTCGTTGCATTGAAAAATATTGCATTTGAGCATGACAGTTTGATTAAAACATATTGTATTTGAACCTAACAACAATGTGCTTTTGTTTGGTTTTTGGAAAAAGTTGAATATTTGAACCATAAGAATTGAAGGCAAAGTAGTGATCTCCTGAACGAGGAGTACTCTTATGTCTCTACCTTGGGAATTCAGAGATGTTAAGAGTTTCCAATAAAATATAATAGCCATGAAAACAAGCATCAATCCAGCGTAAATTTTCAAAATTTACATTTATTTTCAAGATTACTTATTTTTTTAACTTTTGATGTTATTTCCCCTTATATTTATCTGGATTATCATTTAAACTTGGTTTCTAATAGGCAAATAATTATTGGAACTCAAGAAACATGAATATTTGTGAAATCAAGTGTCCCATATCTCAATAATTTCTTGTCAATCAAAATATTATTCACCTCAAATTTATCTTACAAAAGCTGAAGCTTTAAACAAAAAGAAAAAAAAAAGATGGGTGTAGAAATATAGGATAAAAATAAAAAATGTCTAGCTGTGCCAGTGCTAATACAGAAATCTATTGCAGATATCTTATCAACATGGGTTGCACTGCATCCACACTACAACCATGAAGAAAAAAGGAAAAGAGGAAGCACAGTTAGCACAAAACAGATATTGTTGTCTGAATCATACAAAATTTTTTTTTTGTCTTGTAATTTTTGAGCCACCAGATATGAAGTTTATCCTTGGAAATTTCTGTCCTGAAATCAATGAAGGCAGTTATTCAAGTTCTTGAATCCTGGATTTGAACATTGGAAGCTGCAAAGTTTGATTTCCATGTAGTCAGAAATTAATGGTCATTTATAGGAAAAAGAATTTTCTCATTCTGACAAAAATATTCCTCTTACCTTGTAATCTTGGTGCTTTCAAATATGTATAGAGGTAGATTTTAGATCTCTAGAACAATATCTGCAATATGAAAAAAAAAAAAAAGTCAAGAACTAGGAATTTTTTTAAAAAAATTTAGAGGTTTACTTTGTGCATGTTTTGGCTAATAATTAAATCTATGGTGAAAATCAAAGATGAACTTACATTCAGAATCTGTCTTGACCCATTTATATCCATCTTCACTCTTTCTCTCCTGTGTTTCATCTTGATTATTTTGCCTTTTTGGTGTTTGTTTGTCCTCCAAGTATTTCTTCATGGATGATGCTCGAGAAAGATTTTGACTGTAAATCTTCTTGTGAAGCATTACCCTCAAAAGCTGTTGATGGCAACTATTCAATTATCAAAGAAGAAAATATAGTATTTGCAGTTAATAAAGCTGCTTGATTTTTACCTTCTCCATTCTTGATTCTTGCAGTGTATCTCTCAAACTTGGTGCAGGTGAAAACCCACTTCTACAAACAAACATCTTCTTCAGAAGGAAAGAAATTGATTTTTTCCCAATGGTTTTCTTCTTATTTTCAGCACAAATGTCTTTGCATCTGCCAAGAATAATACTAATGGTCCGATCAATATCTTCCTCTGATCTATCCCCTGAATCACTGCCAAGTGCATTACTAATCCTCCTCTCCACTTCCAAGCTCGATGGACAATTAAGAAATCTATCCAATGGTAAATTTGCTAGTTCTTTTTCCACATCGGAAGTCGGTTTTCGAGACAAGAGTTTTGTTAATTCCTTTTGTAGTTTCCCAACTTCTTCAGGTGTGAACACTTGCAAATCCTCGGATGAAGATGGTTTCTCTTGAATATCAGACTGATCTTGTTGAATGAGGTTTTGGGATTGAGGATTTCCTTTAAGGTCATTGTTACCAAAAGTTCCTATTGCCAACAATCCATGAGGCCAATCGCTGAACTCTTCTCGGGGCTCTTGTTTCATATGATCTACAAGAAAGAGTTAGAACTTTTTTAATTGGTTCTAGATTGAAGAATATCACATGTACAACATGTCCTACTTGTCCTACGGCATTGTCAGGTTTGTCAAGCCTCATTGGTGCAGTTTTCAAATACAAAAGAACATGAATTCATCAACGACTTAGATCCCCTGTCTCTTGTTTTGGTTTAAAAAAATGTTGAATAATTTTCTCGGAAAAATGCATGAGAATGGAACACTGATAAACAATAATGTAAGATAACTTAAAAGTTACAATATCCTCAAAAACATTTCATGTGACTTGGAATAGTTCCAATCCTTGTTTATCAATTTCAATTGAAACTTAAATCTATTACCCTATTGACTAAACTGTTTGTGGAAATTACTTCTCTTTGACACACAGCTACTGACCCTGATATTCTCATTTAAGATCTTAACTCGGGCCAAATTAAAGCTAGGGTTCTAAATCTTCAAATATTTTCTTGGATGTAGGAAGATGGTATGACAAAATTTTTACTTCATTATTTCCAAAATTAGGATACATATAGCATAAACATGAAAATTTGTGTGGCTGAAAGCATGTTATAACTCTTAAAACTAGATCAGAAGAAATGATAATAGAATGCTTACGAGTAGTAGAAACTGCATTTGATTTACAGCTGCCTTGTTTCCCATTAAGCTTGTTTTGCATCCAACCAAAGAACTGCAATCAAACATGTCAGAAAACTTCATCAAAATTATGTGGTTGGAATCCACTTCTAGATATAAATAGCAAAAGAAACTTACCTTCATTTTTTAGAAATGAACTGGGGGGCTTTTATGCAATGAATATTTTGGAAAAGGGTGGAGGCGCTGGTGGAAATGTATTTGGAAAACTCAGTGAAATGAAGCAGATCTAAAAGGCCAATGAGAATTGAGGATTGTAAGTATGAAAAAGGGTATTGGATTTTGATGAATTTCATTAACATTAAACTTTATTGGTTCAAGTTCCTAAACAGCGGCCATTTGCAACTTCATCCCCTCCTTCCCAATCCCACCTTTTCTTTCTTATTCAACCCTTTCTTCTCTAAGCTCTTTACCTCTTTTCCTCTCGCCTTATAAAACCAATACAGCCACTCCTCACCATAGCTTAAAGACATTCTCTTCTAAATGTATATATAATCTATGCATGTATGTCCATATCTATGTAATTACACGTGAGTTGCGGATACCATGGTCAGGTTCAGGAACATACGGCTGCAGGCGCCCTCGTGGCACCAGCTTAGTCCTTTAGATCGTGAAATGCTGATTTCAAGACAATACTTTTAGTAAAAGTGTAAGAATCAATCTCTATAAATTATCGAACGGTTGTGGGAGTGACACGAGGAGATTTATCGAAGATATTTTGCAAAAAAGGTTTAAACGACAACTTGTAAACAAATCTTGTGCCCTACACTGTTGCCCTTTTGATGTTAAACATAATTTTCATGATCGATCACCTTTCATGAACAAATATATATATATATATATATATCATACGTATTAAAATATGTTGCATTGTATTCGCACGCATGTTTGTTGGATTACTGAAATTAAAAATTTAATATTTTAGTTGGAGTGAAGTTATATAACCTAAAAGTTATCAAAATTTTGTTAAAAATTAATTAAAATAATACCTTGCTTAAAATTATTGACGATTTCATTAATACTGTTCATTCGATTACAAATTAGAAAAGGAAAACTGTGTTTATTTAGAGAGAATTAGGCAGCTTATCCAAACATGGTGGATCTGTCCTACAAAGCATGCATTTATCCAATTCTCTTGCATAATTTGTCTGCAACGCCACGAGTTTCCCTATCTGTTCTTAGTAAAAGACGATCTATGTATCATCACATTGTATTTGGAATCATTCTCGATTACTAGTATATAGTTTCAGTGTTTTACTTTTGCTCTGCTAAATTCAGCAAAGAAAGCAAACTGATTTTCTGAATAATGACCTAAAACCGAACATTATTGAAGCATGGATGGTGTGATTTGGACTGACTGCTATAGGGGTAACATTTCAAGAGAAAACCCCACTCTCTCGTGGGAATGTCCCCCTCACCGACCAAATCAGCACCTGAATCTCAGTTGCTACACCAAGACCCTTTACTTCTTTGATTCCATGAACAATATGACGACGACTAAGAGCATTTCTAGTACATAACAAAATAATGCTTTTCCATGATCAAAAAAGCTACGGAAATGATACTGGCTACACTAAAAAAGAAAAAATTCCATGGGAAGACAAAATCCTTTTCCTTTCATGTAACAGATGAATGATTTTGGTTAATTTGTAACAGGAATTGTGTCTTTTAATCACATGTCATTCAGGGTGGAATTTGGTAGAAAGGGCCAGAAAGCAAGAGTAATAATCTTAATTTCGTCCTAAAATATTTTCACGTTCATTGTTTCATGTTTTTTCATGTCTAATACTCGAAATGCTGATCTCTCCTTTCGTTGATTGCTAAACTATTAAACTTATTCATGACTTGAAACTGGAAACACAAGCAAGGCTAAAGAATACAACTTTTGAACGATAGGAAGATCAAATCTTTCTGGCTTTACTTTTTTTGTACCACAAATCTTAGAGTTATTGACAAAAAAATGAATTACGAAGATCTTCGAGACAATGAAACGGTACTGCCAGGCAAGAGGGTGAGCAGTAAATTCCCCGAAGGAGGCACAGGGTCTCCAATTTACCGGCAACAATGAATGTTAATTTCAAGTAGGCATGCAGAAATTAGGAGCCAATCACGTGATGGATCCCTGTCACGTCAGAGTGGATGTCACAAAAGGTACGGGGTTGCGTTCGCCTCCTTTGGTTAAAAAAAAAAGTTGGGGCTTGGCTCGGTGACAGCAGAAGGTTACGTGTCAAACAGTCAAAGACAAAGAGAAATCCCATTATCCGCTTTGGTCAACACGTTTCCCAAAGGGCGGTAAGGTTGACTTCCCCAAACCCGGCATTAGAAAAAGAAAACCTGTTTTCATATGATCAGTCACCTGAATTATCCCTTATCAACAGATTCAAACAGTATCTAATGCAAACCAAAAGATGGTAATCATGTTAGAATTAAAAAGGGTTCTGGATTAATCTTAACCCGTTTTGATTGGCTGCTGACACGAATTCAGTTTTGGACCACAAAATGAAAACCTTCATGTATGAGAGCTCGTGCCTGCCATCCCGCCAGCCAACCAGGAGGATTAATTATAATTATAAAAAACTGGATTGGTTAATTGTGTGGTTTATATGGTTTAAAGTGGCTAATCCCTTCCATTAAGCATGATTAAGAACACAATGTGCTATGTGTAGGATGTTCTTTGGTTAGATTTGCTAAACCCATGCAAATAATATACATTATATCGTCACCCAACTCGTCACAATGGTGCTGATCAAGTAATAAACTAGGGTTTCTCTATTTTTTTGGTGAAGAAGAATGAATTTCTCGAGATGCATGCAAATCATGAGGAAATGAAAAAGGGGAGTCAAAACTCGAAGGATCACTCGCACCAAGACTAATGTATGTACGGTAATAAAAAAATTATTGAAAAGCCATCCACCATGGGAGTTATTGTATCCACTAGATGTCTAGGGTTTTGGAAGCCAAACTGAAATTTGAAAAGCTTACTAATTCTCGGATGTTTATGCGCATTTTTTTTGTAAGAAAAAATTTGAAGGTAGATAAGTTGTTTAGTCCTCAAGATCAAGATAAAATGTGTCGTACTTAATAATTTAAGATAAGTGACTGTAAATCGTGCATTTGAAATGACTCAAATAAATTACTATCAATAAAATTTGAATTCAAAATTTTTTTATCGAAAAAGATGATTTTAACCTATTGAACCAATTGTTGGTATGTTTAGGCACATTGGCTAACATAAACTAATGCCTACGGTGATGTGGACCTCAATCGTTCAGGAAGTGGAGGCCATCATGCATTGAGCCATTGACTATAGCTCGCCTTTTATTGGATCTTAACTACTTTTTTTTTGTTAATCAAATCAAATCAAATCAAATATTAAACAGAGTTTTGCATTAAGATTAAGCAAATGTTCCTGTGTGCTGCCAGAAGAGCCGTGATGAAGCTGCTAGAAATGTACGGAAAATTTATTTATTATAACATGGATGGTAATAAAGCACGGCCCTTTGTTCTCAATTCCTTCATTCTTGGCCGCTGACTAGGGCATTGTTTGTCTATTTACGTTTGACATTAGGATAGCCCTCCCCGGAATCTAATCTACTTGTATTTCTGGGAGTTTGAGCCTGGTACTGATCATGCTTAGTTATATATATATATATAGTTAGTGAACCTATGGATGAATTATCTCCACGTAGTCTGTCAAGTCAGCTGCCCACGTGTCCATATGTTTGAACACGTCGACATATGTCCATTTTTGCCATGTGTGCATGCGATAGTTGTTACTGTTAATATCGTATATAATATTTTAAGTACTAATTTTGTTATTCATTTTTTATTCAAAGAAATGGTAAAATGGAAATCTCGAACTCAAACCCTTTCATAGCAATACTAAACTAAGTTTTAGACTTTGCCCATTTCAATTATACATTTATATGTTAGATATATAATTAATAACCATGCATAAACTAATTTGCCCCACTACCTTTAAAGCTAACCATGCACTATCATATACTATTGCATTTGCATCCTTAAAAGTGGGAGGCAAACCCGTTAAAATGGCAATTGATTATGTTGAAACTAAAAGGTAATTCAGTTATAATCAACAAAAAATTTAAAAAAAATTTATATTTAATACATTATCGATGTATAATTCCATATGCTATAAATGAATCATATATGATATAATTCATAATGTCATGAAAACATTTTAACATCTCCTTTAATAATTTTATATTTTTAATTTTAAAAAGAAAAAAAAATCATAAGTACTATAAGTTTGATAGACAATATATAAAACTATATGCACTAGCAATTTATGAAATATAAACTTAAAATTTACCATTAAATTTAAGCCGAATCAATGTTCATTAGCAAATCATAAAATTTTGCCAAACTAAACTTAAGAGTAGCTTTGTAAATCACTCTTTCCTCTTAAGTGCCTTGGGATTTTATTCCTTTTCCTCTAGCATACATTAAAAGACCAAGTTAACATCAAGTCGAGCAATTCGTCTGAAAATGGTGAGTGAGGTATGCTATATATACATGATAATGACAACGAAAATAATGTCCCATCCCTTAATTTCAATTAGGATCGCAAGCCCACACGAAGCAAAACATGGAAGATAGTCTTTACGAAGCAGCATTAAGTGGGAATGTAGCTACCTTGGATGCGCTGCTTCAAGAAGATCATGAGCTTATTCAGTCACTTGCTTCCATAAGACTCCATAACACATGAGTGTAGAACGTTCCTTTTTCAGACGAAAGGGCAAGGGAAGTCGGTATTCTTTGGTGGGAGTACGCTTTTGCAATGGCTGTCACAGAATGGAAAGTGGCGGATGGATGAGGAAGAGGTGTGGGAATAATCAGTTGTGTGTGGATGGATATGCTGCAGCAACTGGAAAGATCACAAAATACAGCCGAGGCATGAGCATGATGTAGGAGTCATCACATCGGGGCAAAGCATGATCGCTTCGAATAAGTAACAATCTTATAATTGAAATGTTGTTACTGTTGGGATAGGTTCACATAAAAAATCTAATATCAGTAAGAAATTTAAGTGAGATGTGTTTTATATACATAGAAGATCCTAAAACCCAATAGCTTGAATCTTTGAGTTAAGTAATACCCAACAT